TTTGTAGCAGAACCAAAAGTAACTACAAATCCTTTGGTCTCAAGCTCTTGTAATATTTCCTGAATGGTATGATTCACTAGTTGCACTGCAGTCCCCAGACCACAAGTGTCTGGGTTTTTTTTTTAAACTCTGATTTTCCACAATTCGGAAAGTAGATAAAAGAATATCAGTACCAAAAGAGCTTTCGGTGCAATCGACGCCCACCTCTCTCCTCCTTTCCCAGGTGAGCTGTTGAGGGCAGGATTTCTGCCAGGGCCGCTCCTGATGAAGAGCACCTGCTACATGGGAGGCTCTCAACCAACACTAGCTTGAATGGCCTAAACCTTTGTTTTACGGATGGGACAGCGGAAATGACCTGTCCACAGTCACACAGCTGAAAACCATCGGAAAAACCCTCTCTACTCCTTCCCATCCAGTCTCCTCTGACTCAAAGGGCAGGTTAGAACTGCTCCCTGGGCGGGGGTGGGGGGGTGGTGTAACTCTTTTAGTATGATGATTATTATTAAAAGATCATTTTATTGATGGCTCTTACAGCTCTTACAACAATCCATACATCCATTGGATCAAGCATATTTGTACACATGTTGCCTTCATTGTTTTCCAAACATTTACTTTGTATTTGAGCCCTTGGTATCAGCTCCTCTTTTTCCCCTTTCTCCCCCTCCCTCCTTTGTGACTCCTTGATAAACTATTATTATATCTTACACTGACCGCTGTCTCCCTTCCCCCATGGTTTCTGTTGTTTGACCCCTGGGGTGGTGGTGGTGAGGTGTAGAACACTGTGATTGGTTCTTGTGGGGTAACTCTTTACGGAGTAGAAAGCCCCGTCTTTCTCCTGAGGAGTGGCTGGTCTTTCTCCTCAAGAGCGGCTGGTAGATTTGAACTGCTGACTTGCATGCAGTTAGCGGCCCAGTGTAAGCCGCTACGACGTCACCGGGGCTCCACCTGCCTCCCTGACTAGGGCTTTTTTTTTTTTTTTAACCCAGAGAGGGTTTTCTACACTAGCTCTTCTCCCAAAAGATTTCTCTGCTCTGCGAGGAACTCTGACACATTAATTTTTCATGTGGGTTTTGTGGCCCAGGATTTGAGGCCACTTCTTGCAGTCACCCATCAACACCAGTGGGTCGGGAGTCAATGCCGCTTTGTTTGGGACCCGTGGTATTGGAAAAAACTGAACATTTTCTCAAAGGCAAGGCAGCGTGGTGATCCCTTCCATTCTGGGGCTATGAACCCACTGATGGCGCCGTGGGAATCTGGGATCCCTCCCCCGGCTCTTATCCACGTCCAGCCAGTTGCCACCGAGCCGATTCGGAGTTGCGGCGACCCCAAGGGTGAAGCGCAGACCGTTGCAGAAGGTTTCAAAGCTGTGCCCTTTGGGAAGCAGATCGCCAGGCCTTTATTCAAGGCTGCCTCTGAGTAGATTCAAACCACCAACCTTTTAGCGTGCGGCCTAGCACGTTGTCATTAGGCTTGTGCAGCCCACGGAAAAGCTCTACCCTCCTCCTGCACCACCTACCCGCCCGAATAGCTCCAGCAAACATTCCCATTGGAATGTTTATACAAAAGGCATACTTTGTTCCCAGGAACCCTCGCACTCCTTGCCTAAGGGGCCGTCTTCAGGCTGGGCTCCAGGGAATAGGTCTCCGGCCTGGGAGGCTCCAGGCTCTGGAGGCAGCGGGAATGCAGAGGCAACGCAGCGCTCTCACTCCACGATGGACAGCAATTTGGGTGAACACTGTCCAGTTTCAAAACGAGCCGTGGAGGTCATGGCTCCTTTACACATCGCCCACTTTAGTTTCCTTTCTTTTTCTTTTATCCAACTGACTGCCAAGACTCGGGGGCATGGAGGGTCTGGTTGAGAATTTTAAAATGGTGCAGTGTCGATGAGACGAAGCCTTCCTTTCCCCCCGAGCGGCCATGCGGCGATGCCTGCAGGCAGTTTGGGTTGTCACAATTGGGAAGTGAACTGGGGGGAGGAGGGGGGCGGGCTTGGAATAAGGGATACCACTGCTGAGATCAGAAGGCTCTTGGCTCAAAGCAGAGAATCCCAGGGGGTAGTACACCCTGTTGGCACAGAGGGTTGGCAGCGACTTCCACAGCACTCAACCCAGCAACAACAACTGGTGGGTGGCAACTAAGGCTCCTATAATACCCAGGGTAGCCCCTCCCCGCAGTGAAGAATCAGCTCGCTTCTAATCTCCCGTGGTGCAGAGGCTGGGGGCCTACAGGTGCCCACGTGGATTTGCGCTTCTTTCCCGCCGGGCTCTGTGCACAGTTTTCTTCTCCGGTGGTTTCATTCCTCGTGTCCGAGGTGCAGTCACCGTGGGTCTCCCTGGCGTGTGCAGAGCACATGCACCCAAATCAAATGTATTTATGGATCAAACCTCTTCCTACGATGATATAACCACATCTCACCTTTTAAAGACCAGGGCTCAGAAATGAGGAAAGGGTAATCTTCTCTTTTAGCAAAAAACACAAGGATGGTGAATAGAGGCTCAGGGGCGGAGTGCAGCTCACAAGCTGGGGTGCTACTGCTCTGGGAAAAGCTGAATGGCAGACGGCACCCCTCCCTACTGCTGCGGTGGTCCTGGGCTGCTGAGAAGCACAAGGCCAACCCCAGGTGACGCAGGAGAACAGCCCCTTGGGGTTTCCTAGGTAGGAGGCTGATGACCACTAGATCTTTCTCCCACAGAGCTGCACCATGGGACTTAACTGCCAGCCTTTGGGTTGGCAGCAGTGTGCTTAACCTTGGCACTTCCAGGGCACCTGCTTTTCTCTCTGGGCCAGGAAAGGGATTCAATGTTTCCAACATGCTGTTGTGTTGGCGCCTGGCTGCTGGTACCTACTCCTGACCTTCCTGGACCCCTATCAGGTTTTACATCTTCTCTCGATTTCCCCAAACACCAGTGGGGGAGCAGACGCTAGACAGGGGTTGGAGGGAATGAGCTATCTGGGAGGGACCCCGCAGTAGCCAGAGACACCCCCTCCCCTAAGAGCCTGGGGGCGGGGGCCAGGGGAGCCTGGGGCCCCATGGAGGAGATGGTATTGGCACTGTGGCTCCATCTTTTACTGGAGGGAGATGACATAGCCGCGTGGCTTGCAGGCCTCACCAATTCCCTCATTCCTATATTCAGGGGCTGAGCTGCTGTGTGCTGCCCTGGCCTGGCATTTTATGAGAAACCCAAGACAGAAGGACTTGTGAGGACCTGCCCTGTGAACAGTGGAAACATTTAGCAAAGAAGAGAGTTTCAAGAGGAAAAGGGAGATGAGTTAGAAAATAGTTTCAAGGATGATATTAATAGATGTCAACAGCTGTGTCTGAGCACCACGGAGAAACAAATCCTTCTCTAGAAACAAATCCTTCTCTCTCCTCGTTGCCCTTTTTATTTATTTGGTTCGTTTTTTAAGCCCCCCTTACACTCACTTTTTTTTATTTTTTTATTTTCAGTAAGAGGTTATTTCAGTGTGGAGGTTGCAGCAGCCAGCAGCGTCCCTTCAGCTACACAGCTCATCGAAGGGACCAGGCACGTTTCAACTACCGAGAGAACGACGGACGACCAAGGTCGACAAGCCACTAAGTCACATTGACCGCAGAGCTCCAACACACACACACACACACACACACACACACACACACACACACACACAATAGCTTTTTAAATTCAAACTTGAGAGGCACCTGCGAAGGGAGACAGGTCACCTCCCTCAAAGAGTCCCACCTTTTCCATTGTCACCGCGGTGTGAGTGATATGTCGGTAACAAAGCCCACTGGTGAGCCTGTGTTTTTATTCTTAAGGCCAAAGTCACAGCTGGATCTCTGCTCAAGCTTACCTCCCACGTCAGTGCCAGGCGGCTCACGGCCACGTTGCTCAGCCCCATGACGATGGCGAAAAAGGCGTTCAGGTTCTTGTACTCTTTACAGCTGAAACACAAGAGCTCGTGTTGGAGTGAAAACGCCACTTTTGAGGGAGACTTTTAATAATGGTAATAAAATGAGGGCTCTCTTTTTCTTGTGGACATGAACATGCGTCCCTCCCTGAGAAGGGGGCCTTGGTAGACTGAATGCGCTCTGGAGGGTCCCCTCCCATGGCCATGTCCTGCCACGATGTCTCACGGTGACAGAGGTGATGGCTTCAGCCATTGAGGAGCTGAATTGGAAGGCGGCTGGAATTGGAAGGCGGCTACTCGGGGATGGTTCCTAGAAATTCCAGAGCTCGCTGCACGTCTGACGGAACCTGAGAGGCACCGGGTTTGGAGCGGGAAGGCTAGGGCAGGCCTGCCGTGGAGAGGTCCAGACATTCAGCAGGAGCCAGACACCTCCCCTAGCAGCTCAGAGGGATTGATATTGTTTCAGCCAAGGCTGCCCTCTGTCGAGGACTAGGCTTCTCATTGGTTTCGAGGCCCGTGGTGTCAAGTGGGGTTGGTGTTGTCTATCGTTAGTAACTGTGATGTCACTCCTCTCGTCAACTTGGGCTGAATGACAAGCACACCCCCACCCCCGGCCCCCGCAGTGGTCAGCCAAGCCTCATCTTTCTGCCTGCCCCCAGACTGGCTTGTGAGGAGGATGGTGGGGGGTCAGGGTGGTGGTGGTGACGAGCAAAGGCACAGGACACTTGCCCCTAGTACTGCCACTGCCTTGGTGGCATCCGTGGTGTGGCACACCCTGCCGGCATTAGGCATGGTGGCCGTTCTGCACCCTGCCCCCGCCACCCCAAGTGAGAATGTCACGTGACAAAGCATGATGCCCTGTGGGGTGGTCGTTTATGTCAAACGAGTTTTAAAACGGGCGGTTCAGCCGAACATTTCACCCCAAATACAACCTCTTGACTCTGCGCCCACTCTCCCCTGAGCTGACACCACCAAGGGGTGGGGAACCAGACCGGAAATGCTGACTAGACAGGCATGGCGTAGCCCAGGCACTCGCTTTCAATTCACGCATGAGAGAAAGAGCCCCTGCCTCTTCATGCCAGCCCCCTGAGAATAGAACACAGAATGTGGTCCGCAATAAGTGCAAACACTCCCTCCACCCCAATATGTTTGCTCAAGTTGACGGAATCCTAATGGAATCCTGTCGGGATTAACCGTTTTTGTCACAGGCTCGTGTAATGTGTTGCCTTGGATGTCCCTGCTTGCCCTGCAAAGGCAGCCATCGGTGACCCTGGGAAGGGCACAGAGATTTCCCAGGAACGACGGCGCCTGGAGAGGGGCACCTCGCTTGGTAAAGCAGAGAGGCAGCAAAAGAAAAAAGAGGGGATGCCCTTCAATGAGATGGATTGACACAACGGACTGGCTGCTACACTGGGCTCCAACCTAACTACCATTGTGAGGCTGGCACAGGACCGGGCAGTGTTTGGTTCTGTGGTACATGGGCTCGCTAGGAGTCGGAACCCACCGGACGGCCTCTCACAACAACACAGCATGGCCGAGCCTACTGGTGAGACAGCAAGAAAGCCTTCACCGTGTGCGGGAAGTTCTTCAGGGGACAGGCGGGGCTGTAGGCCATGATCGCTGTGCTGTGCCTGAGTTTGCCCTTGACCGTGTGGAGGCGATCTTGAAGGAATGAATGAGGCCAACTCCCTTGACCACCCTCAGCTATGTCACGACCTCAGCCTCCTCCTCTGCAAAAAGGGCTGCGAACGTGTTCCACCCCCACCCCACCCCCGCCCCGCCCTCATTCACAGGGTCCCAGCGACAGAAGAGAATAGGCTACCACTCACTGAAAACAGCAAGGGAAACAGATGCCACCCAGTTTAGATCCCACATTTGCAGATCTCAGGTTCATCATATCTACTGTCTGCTCTAGCTGGGCTGAGCCAACGGCTCCAGGAAAGGACCGCACGCTCAGCATGGGGCTCAAAGAGGGTTTGGTGATGCAAACCAGTTCACACCAGAGGCCAGGTCTGCCCACTCAGTCCTACCATCAGATGGAAGGGAGTCCAGGGAGGCACACAACCCAAAACAACCCACGCAGAAAGGCCTGGAATTTCCCAAGCTTCTTTCACCCAGTTCCTGTGAAAAATCACAGGATTTGGTCCCAAAGGGTTTTCTAACCTCCCACACTAGGGTGCAGGTAGTAGCCTTGCCAGGTGACGCAAAAGAGAGAAAGACTCCTTATAATGAAAAAGCACACAGTGTCACCCTCTCCCTAGTCATCACAGGCCAAATATGCAAAGGCCTTTGTCCGCTGCAACAAGTCTGGCCAGCTTCGTAGCGAAAGAGGCCACACACCGAAGCAGAAACCCGCAGGGAACATTCTACCCAACCAGCCGGCTTTTCCAAATGAACAGATACCAGCCTCCGAAGCTGGAAGATCTGAGTATGCTGTTGACCTCTTATAGGCCACATTTTTTTTTTTTGGTTGCACAGTAATTCCAGGCGCTTGATCTATCAGGTGTCAAGTAGCAGTTTATTTCTCTGTTCGGGCCTGGCCATCAGCCTCCGTATGGGAGCGAACGTTGTTGTGGCTCAAGGAATTGATTGTGGGGTCTCTTGTACTCCCAGCCTTCTTGCCGGGGAGAGCTCCCTGCTTTTAGATGGGAAAGAAGTCTCCCAGCCATGGGCCGTATTTAGAATTTTATTTTTAGCGTTGTGGTGATAACAAAAACATGGAAATAAACAGGAGGTTGTCAGGCATGTCTAAATAGCAGGGGGAGATTGAACTCATGTCAAAGGGTGCGGGGTAGGGGATCTAACTGGCCCCTGAAGTAAATACATTGCTTCCCATGAAGTGCTGCTAAACGGAAGAGGCCTGATTTTTCTGGGGTTCCTGGAGATGATGTCCAGGCACCAGGCTAGCCTGCCTTTATGCATTTACTGATTTTATTCTGGTTGAATTGGAGGTGCTGTTGTAGACGCATGCTCTACTGCCCTCTACTGGCGAGAATGCGTCACACTTTTTAACTAGAACTTTCTACAAGAGAACTTTTGTTTGCAGAAGGACTCCTTGAACAGAGGAGGGAAGGGGTAAAAAAACAAAGCAAAACTACGTAGTTCAGAGCAAGAAGAAGTCACAGTTTTGACTCCAGTATCGAGCGCTATGAGAGGTTAATGTATATATTGATGTCAAATATTACAAAACTCAAGAAACCAAACTCACTGCCATTGAGTTGATGCCGACTCATATCGACCCGGTAAGCGCAGGGTAGAACTGCCCCTGTGAGCTCCTGAGACTGCCACTCTTTACAGGAGTAGAAATTGCCATCTTTCTCCCGAGGAGTGGCGGGTGGTTTCGAACCGCTGATGTTGCATTTAGCAGCCTAAGAGGTAACCAAAAGCTAGAAAAAAAATTCATCTGCTGCAAGTTTGATTAATCTGGAGCCCCTGTGGTTGGTCTTCACGCAACAGTGTCTCCTTGAACTTACTTTTGTTGTGCTTTAAAAGATGTTTAAACACAGCTAAAACCAACCTTTTTTTTTTTTTTTTTCCTTCTTCCCAAGGTAAAGCTACTTACTGGGCTGCTATCTTGATAAATTTTTTCAAGAGCTGAACACGTTTGCTGAGCTGGGAACAAAGGCAGACCTCAGTGACAACCCAGAACTGAATTTCATTAAATCTCCGCAGGAACAGATCCAAGTTTGCTGTGGTCTTTTTAAAATTATGCCTTCCAAATGTGTGGTAGATTAGCTCCAGCTAGAAGAGACAGGAAAACACTTTTGCTTATTTTTATTCTAAAAATCAGAATGGCAGAATGCCAGATAGCCTTCCTCCGCCTGTCAAGACAGTGTTTTAATGGTCAGAACATGAGAATACAGCTCTGACCACATGCCTTCACGGGAATGGAGGCTCGTTACGTACATCAGAGAGCTACCATTGGCTTACTGTGTTCTGGACGACATAGAAAAGAAAAGGCAAAACACAAACACACCCACCCAAACCCATTGCTGTTGATTCTGTCTCGTAGCCAGTATGCTGGAAATCATAAGGACTTTTTTTTTTAATACTCAAAGACTGTACAGCAGGCTTTATTAATAAACTTGATGTTCACCAAGAATCGCCATGTGGTTTCCATATTGCAGTTCGTATTTACAAAGCGGCGCAAGACCAGCAGGCTTCCCAGAGGATTTGGACTCTACCTACGGATGCACTCCGTTGGGCGCCTCACCTCGTGCACGCAGTGGAAGAGTTCCCAGTCGTAGATTGTCATCTGGTATGCTAAGTCTTTGGAACTCATCAGTTCGAAAGTTCCCATTGTTCCAACCGTTGGGCCTTCTTGTTCTGGCAAGGGAGTCTACGGATAATAACAGAAAAACACATCAGCATCTTCATACAGACAGGTACTTAATGCTGACCGTTTTAGGGAGTCTCAGAGGGAAGGATTCTGGAGCCGCTTCTGGAAATATCTTACAACCTTGATTTCACCCGGAGGGGAAAGCCGTTCTGCTCTTAAGGCGCCTTTGCCTCCCCATCGTCATTGTCTTTGCAGTTGTGGTCATCACTACTGTCAATTGCATTGACTGGAAGGTGGGGACGGTGGCAAGTGAGACTTGGTAAAGGGTGGCCTGGGTAGACTCTCTTCTGCTGGAGCCTGTGAAGTTCCTGGGAATGCTTCCATTTCCCCAGCAGAGATGGAAAAAGTTCTTAGAATCCTTTAAAATTCTACTTTCCATTGTTGGGGTCCCAAAGCAGTCATTGACACAGCTGTTTGGAAAACTTACACACAGAGGTAAGGACCTACTGGCTGTGGTCCAGCTGCTGCATCTCCTTCCCTCATGACACACGACCTCGGGCCCCCAGGAGATGGGCAGTTCTGTGCACCCAGAGTCCCTGCGATGTCCACTGCCTCCATCTCTGGAGGTTGAATTAAAGGTGGCGTTCACTTGGTCATGGTGCCTAGACATTACAAGACCCAACTGTGCTACTCCCTGGAAGAACCAGCCCCCCAGCCAACACTTTCCATCTGACTTATATTTCTATTTTGTGAGCTTTGTCTCCAAATGCTTTTACTTAGTAATTGCAATTACTTGCATACAAAGGAAACTTATGTATATTGCATTGATATCTGTCCTTATAAAATACATGTAACATTCATTGTGTGTGTGTCTAAAACAAAGTTATAAAAGTCACGTGAAAAGATTAATTTCCCAATTATAATAGCCATATTTAAGTTAGCCAGTGCTCATGTCAGGCATGCTAACATGTTCTATCATCATCTCCCTGCTTATCATCATCATCACCACTATATCCTATAAATGCCCACTGAGTTCCGGGCACTAAAGGAAAGGCCTGGTCAGGATGTAAGGGTCCCTGCATTTGAAAGTGTACAACCTCAGAGTGGACTTGTGTAGGTCTCTGAAAACAGCCTGCGGGCGTTCCTCCCTTCCCTTTGCTATGAGATGATTTTTTTTTTTTCAATTGGAGGTTGGATGGGTGGTGATTGGGAGAGTAGTGTTATGACCCTCCCACTTTCCAGATGAGGAAACGAAGGTGTGCAAAGGTTGCTCTGATTGTCAGTGATGGCCAGGTGGCTAGAGAAAGCTGCCACCCCAGCCCCCCTCCCTCCCTCCTGGTGTGGACGCAGCCTCTGTGCATAGCCCTGCAGCAAAGCTGGCCACACACCCTCTCATTGTGGACACGCTGGCAGCCTCCTGCCCCCACCTCTCTCCAGACAATGGGCTCCGAGGGGTGTCCGTTCATCTTCCAAACCACCCAGAGCCAGAAACACTCACATGCCGGGGTGATGCAGGAGGTGCTAAATAAAAGTCTGGGGAGCGAGTGAACTGGTGAAAACAGGACCGGATGACAGCACCCCAGATTTCCTAGGAATCTGTCCTATCTAACATGTACACATAAACAGATGTCAAGTGAGGACAGCTCCTGGAACCACTGGGCGACATGGCTGGCATTCGACTAATTCTGGACCACACGGCTTAGCACTGCAGCTCTTTCTGCTCCCGGCTGTTAGAGGCAGTCTCATCTCCCCGGCCTGACTGTCCCTGGCTTCAGGACAGCTGTGGGGCACAGGTCTGGGCTCACCCAGAAGCTGGTCCAACACGAAGCAGAGACACTATTAGTATGTGGCAATAGACCAAAGCGTTTGGCCAACATTCTGCACTGCAGAGCCGCCCTCTGTGTCACTCTTCGTAGAAGAACTGTCCCCAAAGGCAATCTCTCCCAAGGTGGGAAAGGATCTTCGTGTCTAAAGTGATATGAGACAGAAAAGGGCGCACCTAACCGCACACACAAAGTAAGGGTGGAGCATGTGTAGGGAAGAGAGTACTTATCAAGAAGGAAATTCCTAATTCCATCCCTACTACATTGCCTTGATCAAGCCCTACCAGCGCCCTACTCGCTATCGACTTCAGATCACTTGTTGTTCCCGTCCGTGGGTTTGTTAACACCCACTTCCTTTCTTCCGCCTCCTCCTCTCCCATGCGCCACCCCCCACCAGTCATTAGTCCCGTTGTTTTCTCCTCCGCATTGTTTATCCTGCCTATTTTATCTAGATAGATATGCAGAGACAATATAAGCACAAAAACAAGACAAAACAAAACAATAAAAGAAAACAAAAAACCAAAACAACAACAAAACCAACAACCAAAAAAGAAGAGCCTATAAATAGTTCCAGGTCTGTTTGTTGACCTTTAGGAGTGTTTTCCAGTTGAGTCTGATTGGGGTGCCACACCATGGTCCCAAAGTCTATTTTTGGTATTCCCTGGGGACTTCATTGCTTTGCTCCCCTTGCTGCTCTGTAGCACACCCTTAGTATTTCACCCCAATGTGATGAGGTCAGGTCA